GCATTTCGTTTTGCAGCAGATAGTGCGGATTAGGGAGGAAAATTTGGGGGAGACGCATGCGACCTGGGCCCAGCACCGGGGATCCTCCTCGAGCTTGTAGAGAATGTTGAGTACGACGTCGTCGGAAAGCCTGGAGAAACCGTTTTCCGGCATGTCTCCGGCGAGATTGGAGCGGTGAGTTATTCGCCGGTGTTCGAGCTAGCAGAATGAACACGGAAATAAAATGGGAACCATACGCAGAGGAGAGAGAGAGAGATATGAGAATAAAAAAATATCTCAAAAAAAAAAATATCTTTTGTTTTTGTGGTGGGTATTTATTGGGAGATGGGGTGTTTTTTACAATTTAGCTACTTTTTAGGTTTGAGATTGCAAGGTTGTGAAAATTAGGGAATTAGCTACACAATTTTGCTATGGAGCAATTGGATGGCTCGACTTATGGAGTTATCCACACTTATTTACCAATAGATAATTGACACGTATTCTACAATAAATATAATCTGAACAAATGTCAATTCATTAAGTGGTAGATGACTCCATAAAAAAATCATTTGATGGCTCCATAGAAATTTTGATGAGCTACAACTGGTATTTTATTTTATTTATTATATTGCGATGGATAATATGTTAATTATTTGGGACAATTAGAGGTATGACCAATTAGAACTTTTTAATTTAATCTTTTGGTAAGTAATGGTTTGAAATAGCTTTTTGACTCAAAAAATTTTTGAAAACTTTAAAAAATATAAGCTTTTTGAAATATAAAATGCGAAAATTAGTTATTTTTACCTAGCAATCATTTAATTTATCAATACTTTGCACAATCAACTAGTCAGAATTGTTATCTAATCGTGCTATTTTTGTTTTTTTGGAAACGATATTCATTAACGGAAAAACATAATTACAATCGGCTAACAACCGTAACAGGAGTATTACTCTTACTGCAACACACACTACAATAGGAGAATAATACGCTCCTCCAAAGGAGAAGAAAACAAAACACAACTCACATGCTAAATCAAACACACCAAACACTAACAAAACATAAAAAATACTAACACAGTTACACAACCTATAAAGATAAAGCCCTTATCATGGCCAGGAACACGCCAACCAACCATGACAACGACACAAATAGCCGACCACCCATACGGACCGGAACTCGCCCCATACCCCAAAACCAGAAACTGAAACTTACCACCTAACTGGAATCAGACCCTAGAACTCGATCATGCACCCAAGCAGCCGACCCCCCCTCAGCCGGCGAAAACTGAACCAAACCCCCACCACACCATTGTCGCCCCAAGCTTTGCCCACACCACGGACCATGGCTCGTCGCGCTGGTCGTCCCCTCGACCCACGCACCAGAGGCCAAGGCAACAAAGGGGAGAGCCAAGTGGTGTAGATTAGGATTATTATTATCATTATTATTATTATTATTATTATTATTATTATTATTATTATTTAATGACTTGGTGGACAAGTTAATGTTTAGGGTTAGGAGCCTTATATAAAGGACTACCTCTAGTTTATTTTCCTTGGTTGTTTATGAATGAAAATATGAATTATATCGTGTTTAGATGTTCTTGAGATTGAGATCTCATTAATATCGT